ATATATTTAATTATTATTATTTATATATATAAATGCAAAAACTTACTTTTTTAGATAAGATGTCATGAGAAAAAGGTTTACATAAAGCATTTAAAAATTAAAAAATGAAATATGAATTAAAAATTAAATGAAATGTAATATCCCAAAATTTGGGGATATTTTAGCATTAAGTAAGGGACTTATTTGAGGGAAAATATTGTTTTGGGGTTTAATAGCAAAATTTTTAAAGGTTGAGGGGCTAAAAAGAAAGGAAATTAGGATAAGGATCAAGCTTAGATATTTTTCTTTTCTTCCTCATTGCCCGCGTGTCTGCTCTGTTCTTCTTCTCGATTCTTCCTCCCGACAAACCCCCAAGCCACCGACTCTCTCCCCCTTGAGAAAACCGGTGAGATCTTGATGAAATTCCTTCCTTTTCTGGTTCAATCACAAGATTTGGGGCTTAGAATTCTCTCCCTCAACCCAGAAATCCCGGTTCTGCTCTGCTCTTTTCCCCTGTCTGTCGGCTGCCATGTGGGTTTGAATTTTTGGGCATTTTTCGGGTAAGCCACAGCCATGGAAATCATCTCCTTAGCTTTGATTTGGCTTGGGTTACTCTAATTTCTGTTTTGGTTCTTGAATTTGGGTTAATTCCGTGAGCTTCCCCTGCACTTGCCGCCGGCTTCTTCTCCCTGCCAGCTCCGGTTTGCTTGCTAGAATTCTGGTAAGTTGCCGGCTCTTCTAAGTCCAATTTATCCATGTAGTTGCTGCCTTGTGTTGATTGGAATTTCTGCTTTTGAATTGCCCTTTTGTTGGCCGATATAGGGGAAGAAATTAGCAGCCTTTAAATGTGTTTTTTTGGGCTCAGTTCATGTAGAAATAAACCTGTTTTGGCTTAAAATTTAGCTGCTGTTCTGCGTGAAAATCCTGCTGTTTGCCAAAGATTCTACTGTTCACGCGTACCAGTTACTGTTCACACAGAAGATTCTGCAATTTTGCTACTGTTTTCTGCTCCTTTTCAGTCCGTTTCTGCTCTGAAAAATCTGATGAAATATCCATTTTTTTTCTGGTCTTTTAGCTGGCTGTAGTTGAATTCTAAAAATATCAGTTACTGTTCACGTGCACTGTTCACACCCCGAGAGTTAACGATTAACGGGGATTTAAATGATTAGTTTGTGATATAAGAATAAATTTGGAAATGTCCGGTTATGTGGAGATTGATAGAAATAGCACTATGATTAGGGGTAGTGCTAGTGATGGTTTTACTTTGAATTTGTGGTAGTACGGTATTAAGCGTGGAATATTGTGATTAGGTTTTGATCGTTCTGTTACCGTAGCACTTGGGTTAGCCTTCTGTTCTGTGTGAGTAAGGTAAGTAAATCATGGTAAAGCCCTTCGATTTTAAAGCATGTTTTAAACTGTTTTTGAGATGGTGGCAAGGTTTAAATTGATTTTAAATTGATTTTATCAACATCTGAATGTGATTAAACTGAAATGAAAATTGTGATGATTTTTATGAAAATCATTGTTTTTCTGGAATTGAGTGTGATTGGAATGAAAATGAGGATTTTATTGATTTTCTGGAAATGAGCATGATTGAGAAATGAAAATGAGAATTTCCTGGTTTTTCTAGAAATGAGTATGATTGATTTGAAATAAGATTATTAGTCTTTTTGTATTGATTTGAGCATGCCTACTTGAAGTTCATGTGATGGTCCTGACGATTTGAAAGTTAATTGTAAAGAATGATTTTCTGTTAACTTCTGCCTGTTTTGTCTCCGTTGTGGTTATGATTATTAATGATCCTGCTAGTGGGGGTGAAACGCTAGCACATGTCGGCACATGTCGATATGTTATTGATGATCCTGCTAGTGGGGGTTAAACGCTAGCACATGTCGGC